CACCTCATTCAACGTGAGATGCGCTCAATTGTTGTGCGGTCGGGACGCGGAACGAGCTTCGGCGTAGTCAGGCGTTTTTGGAACTCAATTCCGACGTAATGGATGTACATACGTACGAAGTTTGCGACGCGAGCACATCGTCAGCTGCGCTAACTTTCCGATAATTGCGCAACTCGTTCTTCTCGGGCGCGGCAAGAAGAGACGAGAAGAAGAAAGAAAAACGGCGGCGACGGCGGTCTAGCGGGTGATCTAATACATAATACAGCTCGTTATCCACGCGCGACGGCGTGCTCGTTAGAGTTTCAAAAGCGACGTCGTCGGCCCGGATTGCAAAATATGATAATGGAGGCGCTCGCCGATCGAGGCCCAACGGTGTCGCTCCACGGTGCAGTCTTTTACGATTACTGTCCACCGATAAGCCTCATGTAGTTCTCGAGGTCGGTGATAGCGCGACACCTCCGACAACGTATCACGAAACAGTGGCTCTTTTTTTCCACAATCACCGCATTAAGATTAACGATGGAAGCTTGTTGAAAAAAAAGTTTTCGATAGTCACACTCTCGTTGCCTGACGATCACATTTACGCCGGCGAGGTCAACCAACGGGTCGAAGTAACGTCTTCTGTTGAGTAAAATCCTACATCTGGTATACGCGCCTATTCGGAGGCTGCTTTTATGAAATGGGCACGCGTAAATCATAAACTTTGCTCAGGAGCTCAGGGATTTTCGGGATATGTTAGGGCGGAACTGGGGAAGTTTCCTTTGATATCGTGTAATCATGTCGGACAAATAGATTCTTAATCCTGAAATTACGAGGCGTATTTCGAATATCCCGCGAAAAGTGCGACTCGTAATATTTCATTTCTTCGTAAGTCTGAAGAAAACGTTAGAAACGTGATGGTATGAGATACATAGAAATACATTTAAGAAACGAATGGTTCTCTCTACTCGGCAATAAAAATGCTAATAAACGAAGCGAAACATTTAAATATCAGAATAATGATAATCGAAAATAAAGTAAAAAATTTAAGAGCATAAGTTAATTTTGTTTGATTTTTAAAATTAGTTTCAATCCGTTTTGTTGAGATTTCGAATCACAATTATATATATATAAAGAACAAGTATTTCAGAGTTAGATAAATGACGCAAGTTTTATATAGCACATAAAATCGCAATTAAATAAAATTATTTTTAAATAAAAATAAACAATCAAAGGTGCCAAATAATTAAATTGGAAAGATTATGATGTACGTCATTTTTGACCCACTTTTATATCTTTTCGCTGATTTAATAAAAGTAAGAGATAAGACCTAATATTATATTAAAAGAGATTTCTCGAATAGATTGGCCTCACTAAATCCTCCAAATCCTTAAGCTTTAAAAGCATATATAATCCTTTTAAGGTTTTATATATTTTGCATATGTTAATGTTGAAGAACGGCACGCGCCTTTGAATCTGCGATAACGTAAAGATGTTTTGTCGATCAATGTAAACGTGCCAACAAAACTTCGCTGTCTACTGTATCGGGCAGCACAAGTGTGACTTATCGGTACTTTTCATATTTACACGTTCGAACTAAGTACAAATGTATCGCGCACCTGTATCGATGAATATTCCCGGACTACTGAGCGTTCGTTGTAACCGTCAGTGCCACGGTTATCAGCCGTAATGAAATTAAAAGAAATTATTTAGATAAAAGTACAGATGGTTACGTGATAAAAGATTTACAAAGATAATCATAGTTTATACAAAATATCAAGTATTTAAATAGAATTACAATAAATATTAATATATATATTTATATGCATAAATAACTGTATTTTAGATATAAATAAATTTATATAAATAATTAAATTATTATATAAATTTTTAAAATGCGACATTTCTTTCTATCGGATTTGTAAAATCAGATTTATACCTAAATATTGAAAATTTTCAATTATTATTTTCGCATAAAATAAATGTGAAAATAATTGCTATACTCCAAAATAAAAATCAGTGCTAAGAATTTCATACATAATTGTTCGTTTCCTTTGAAGTGAAAACAGGATTTTTTGGCATATAAAATAACGGAGGCGCGTCGCCGTCACGAGGGCTCCAAGAAGTTCAGAGAAACGGAAAAATTTCTTTTCGTGTCCAATTCAGCGAAAAATCGCCCGCGAGGAGGCTCGTTTGGTGGATTCCAAGTGTGCTCACAGAGGTGAGAGAAACTCGTTTTTCTTCCGATTATTAAAATAACAGAAAACCCCCAATATCGATTTCGGTATACACAGGAATTCACTTGCGGTGAGTTTAAAATCCATCACGCGATCCCGAGGCCTGTCAAATTGCGCGGCATTGTATCGCGTCGGTGCAACAAAATACTTTTGAACTGCGTAATGTTGTGCTCGTTACAACGAATAGGCGCATGTTACACGACGTGCTAATTAACGCCACGACTTGCATTGCGTAAGAATACAAATTACGTCTCTCACGTGACCGCAACTAATTCTGCTATATCTCGTCCACGCAAGAAAAACGTGCCTCGCCTATGATTTATCTCATTTGCATCACATTATATAAAATATATTACGAATACATTTGCATATTAAACAGTGATATCGAAAATAAATTTTATATATATCCGCCAAGATAAAAATACATTGCATTCTTTAAATTTTAACGTTGTGTGTGTGTGTGTGTGTGTGTGTGTGTGTGTGTACACTAATTTAGTTGACTAAAAATATCTTTTTAATTCGAAAATTTAAACTTTCAAAAAAAAAATAAAAGATCGACATTCTCGCATGTTGTAAGGATTATGCGTAGATACGATCTGCGATGATAAATTCGACATTACGCACATTCGAATGTGTCACTTCACGCATGGTGCGCAGCGATTTCGAAGTCTCGTCACGCAATCGCAGCACAGCATCATCATAAATCGAACTTCATTTCAATTCTATGCCCATATCGAGCAGTCATGACTTCGATTTAACGATCGACACATACTTAAATACAATTTTTGGATGGCAACTACTATATTCGTAAAATAAAAATACGGGCAATCAATTATTTTCACGCGTCTAATTATCAATCCACTGCGCAATATTCCTTTCTTTTTCAATCGTTCCATTTCTTCAAATCCGATCATGCAATTACAAACATGTGTCTGAAACGATGCGATACTTAATATTCGTGTTGTCGTTTAAGTTATGGAAATACGATTAAGTCTCCTCTCTCGTGTGATTCATGATAAAAAATTATTTATGCATTCAGATCCGCGCGGCCGGCCCGCTTTGTTATCCGCGGTTTCACCTCCCGGAGAAGCCACAACGTACATAGCGTCTGTCCGGTAATAATCCCGGAGTTACGACGATGCGGAGACGGAATAACTTGTCATATGATGTCAGGCGTACGCGCACCGAGCGCGGTCGTAACATCTGGCAAGTGTTAAGGTGCGTTTAAGCCTGTTCGCGCGACCGGCGAGCGAAGGAAATAGCAAAGACGCAGTAGGTCTGGGGCGACATAAAACAATTTCAAATTTTGTATCTACGTTTTCACTTATTATATCTACTTTATATAAGATACGAGATAAAGAGAGAGATACAGATGTCGCAAAATGACCGCGTAAATCAAAGTGTTTACACATTAGCCACGTGGAGTCCGGTAGAAAAATGTGCGAGAAAAGCTGCAGCCCAATCTCTCGGCTAATAATCTACGACTACATCTTTCTAATCCCCTCTCCCTTTCTCTCGTATCTTGTGATATATATCACAGAAATATTTTACCCGCTTTTTTTTCACGCTTCTCGAGATGTCGATACGTCAGATCCTGAGGGCCGAATTTAAACTCGACGTTCAAAATTATCCGACGTTTTTCCGGAAGGAGCAAAGTAATGGGAGTTCGATGTTTAAGGAAATAAGGAAGTTTCTCCAAAACGGCCGTTCTTTTCATAAGCGAGCGGATACGTGACTTTACCTCTAAATGTAATCAAAGTAATATTGCCGCAAACGCTCTTTTGAGCGCGTTTTCCCCGAAGGGGGATTTCCCCCGGCAAAGTTTAATCTGCCAACGTAATTCAGTAACGGTTTTCTTTAATCAGATTTCTCGGATGAGCTCTAACGACGCTACCAACGAGCAAAATTTCTAAACGCGAATTCAATCAATTCATGCAAAGCAGCCAGTTCCGAGATACACAGTCTATTGTGCTAATTTACGCGTGGTTCTCCATTTATCGTTAGCGTTACATCGAATGCACGACATTAGCGCACCTTAGGAACGCATAAATTCTCGATCGGCGGACGTGAGTGATCAATACTACTGATTCCGCGCTGGGGAATTCAACGTTTCGTGACGAATTAAACGTCGGGCGAACATATTAATCCGCTTGCGCTATGCGCTCGCATTGACGATAACGATCGCACACGCGACCAGCCTCGCAATCGCTCGCACGGACCGAATAAAAATGATAATGATTTATCCCGCGAGGAATCCCACGTTATCGAGTAACACATCATTCAGTCGAGCTAATATTTGCATCGTGCAATTAATCAATCATATGACAGTGGCAAAAGGCGTTTCATTTCTCTTTTTTTCTCCTCTTCGTCAAGCTTATATGTACTGACAGCTCGCAACGTTTCGGGCGCGCGCGACGCAGTTTCGCCCAAAAGATATAATTACGTGTCACATTTCTGATATTGACTCAATCGACGAATTCCGATTCGGTCTACATAGCAACACTTAACTTTAATATCTGCACGAGACAAAATTGTTAGCTTAAATAATAATCCAGTTTTCGTTATGTAATTCTAAACTTTCCTCGATCCAACTTCGATCGTGCGCTCGAACTTTTTTCGCGCAAAGCTCTTCGGGAAACGGTTGTTTTAACAAGATCGACGACAGCTTTGAATTCACAATGAGAAGACGCCGGCGACCTTGCCGCGGGGAACTGCGAGAAAAGTTGATCGGACTTTTAAATAGAGACCGCCAGCTGAAAGCCCAAACTAACATTAATTGAGCCAATTATCGGGGATTATTCTTTCGAGTTGCCGTGCCTAATAACGATAGGCAAGCGACAACCTATGTTTGCACTATAACAAGCATTTCGGGGATGCGCGCACGACCCCACCCACAGGGAACTCAAATCCCCATCCCCCGCTATAGATTTCCTGCAAATATTACGACTTTAATCAGTTTACAAGTTTCACAATTTATAGCGGCATTAAGCAGAAATAATTGCTCCGACCTTTCATTGGAGCGTCGCGCGCTATTCTCTCAGACGTTGCACTCCCACATACCTACGTTGCATGCCGCTCTGGATTTATGTGGATTAAGAGAAAACCAAGATCCCGTGAAACACGTTGGAGGCGCGGATATGCGCGGTGACCGACATTCATCATCAGTCTAATTTCCCACACAATTCTAATTATTTCTGACTACTTTTAATTATTGCGACACATTTTTTTCTAATTATTGAAAAGTAAAACGATTTCCATGAGTTTAAAATTATTTTAAATGTATTCTCGAATTGCCATTAAATACGTATCGTAATTAAATTTTTGAATTAAATTTAATGTTCGTGTGACGACATTGCATTTCTCTGTCATGACAAAAAGTTCTCACTCTCGAGCAACCTGTATGTATACTCGTGTATTCTCATGTGAATTATACGTGTGCTTAATTCAGGAGTAAAATCCCTTTGAAATGTGTGTGAGAAAACACAACGTAGCCGGATTGTGAGTTTTTTAGTCGATGAAGAATATAGTTAACTAGGTCATTTTCTTTTTTTTTTTTAACAAGCGGAAGGTTTGTCTGCGCCCGATTGAACGGAGGATTCATCTGTAATTAAATGGTTTTCGAATTTAAACGAAAGCCCTAAAACACCGAGCGTTTATTAGCCGATGCAGCGGCGCGGATCAAACTTTATCCTCCATATCCGATCAGTCGCGAATTAAAGGGGAGGACTTTGAAGAGAGACTCCGAAATGCGGAGGAACGGTTTAATACTGGTCAACACGAATACGAGCAGTATTTAGCATTTAGCATTTAGTATATGTAAAATTAAACACGAGTTATTTAACTGTACGGTCAGGCGAAGGTATTTTAGGAGCGTCGCGATGAAGACACTTTCGAGGGACTAAAATTGACGCACGCGACGTGAATATTCCAAACGATTTGAAATAATCCGCTTTTCCTGGCGACGCACTAGGTCTGTCGCTTTGGAGTTCCGTAAATACCGAGTATATAACGATCTCCAAAGCGTACCGACAAGCAACTCGACGAACTCCACGAACGCGTCCGCATTATTCGCGCGCGCCTATTTCAAGGAGATATTTAACCCTGAAATAAAATTAGGGACAAGAAAATCCGCATCGGCCAAACTTTAAACAGCCGCTGCCAACTGCAGCGGTACAACAGAGAGTGCGTGTGTTTTCCTAAATCCTGTATGCGCGCAATATAACCTACGACGTTAGCCGAAAGTTGTTGGAAGACGATTGGTATACGGCAAACCGGCGAAATATCAGCGTCATTCTTATTGAACCTAACGTCACTCGCATCTCACCATTTATGTCAGCGGCATGTCTGGCTCTTTGTTCAGAAGCCCAAGGATATTACAATATCGACATGTCACGCTTTAAAGCTGTCAAGAAATCTCAGGCATGTAGTAACACGAAGCAAATGCACATTTACTTTCATGACAATCGCAAAGCACAATCCAAACATGTTTTCGACATGTCATGCATTTCTTTCGAAACGATGCGAGCCATAAACATCATGCTAAACTAAATATTATGATTCAAAACATTATTTTGATAAAAAATATTTAATAGAAAATTTGATAAAAATTATTTTATAAAAAGTATTTTTATAAAATTTTTAATAAAACGATAACAAAAATTTCGCCTTTCCTTTATGAAAGTGAGAAATTTTTTCAGCTTTACTAAACTATTGAAAATTGAAATCTTTAAATTAATAAAAATAAAAATTTTGTTGCATATAAAATCTCTGTCATATTTTTGTTTTACATATATTCGACGATCAATTATTATAGTTAATAAACAAAAAGGAAAATGTTGTTTACTATAAAAAAATGCTAAATCTTATACTTTCCTTTCTAAACTTTCTTACGCAAAAATGAAACTTTTAACATTTATTCAATGTCCTTATGAATACCTGGAAGATGAATGAGAAATCACGGGATTTTTATGACCAAATCACTTCGATAGGAAAGTTTTGCCGATAAATTCGCGGGGAACTTTTTTAGTTTACGTATGGTAAAAAAATCAGCCTTACTTTTTGCATAATCTCTCACTTTGGTTCCTGTCGAAACTTCACAATTTAGTTCGAATAACCAACAAAATTATTGAACCATCAAAAAAGAAATTTTCAATCGTTTCTTTTTCTCCTTAATTTACGTTCGCCAATTTCAGCAGGGACAAACTTCTTGTTTGAATATTATTTAATTCAATAAAAGATAATGGTGATTTGACAATAATGATGATTTTAACAATGTTTCTAATAAAGTACAACTTAAGAATCTTTTTTAATATATTCACAAATTTAAAGCATTCGAATTATTCAACATATATCGCAATCTGAATTTAAAAAAAAATGTAATGCTCGTCTGACGACATCGCAAATTGCAGTTGACAGTGCCGAAATGAATTTAAGCCAGAAACTTTATCAGGTCATGCGTGAGAAAATGGACATTTCCGCAAAGAGAGTTACATACTTCTTTGGCAGTTAGTAAAACATGTGAATATTTTGATATAAATATCAGTGCCAGATATACTCGATGACATTTGCAGGCTTATATATTCTTCAATGTAAGAAAATCATATTTTACCACCCACATTTAAAAACGTAAAGAAAATGTAAAAGTGTAACAACAGTCAGATCAGCAATATTAAATATCACTGAACAAAAGTATAATAGTACAAACATAATTTTTTTAAGGAATATTAGATGCCTTTGAAAAAAAATTTTAAAAGTTCCATTTATATATTGAAATTTTTGAAATACATTTCTAGAAAAGAGAGAGAGCAAATCAACTGAGCTGCGTTTGTATTTAATCGATGTTCATCAAACTGTCCGCGAAACATGTTGAATTCGCAGTTGGATTAATGCAAAAGGTAGCAGATGGTAGAACGTCGGCAGTGACCTCTCGGCATCCCACTGAACCACGCGCTCGAGGGCAGACTATTTGGAAGACCGCCAACGACGCGTTTATTGTCGTAAATTGTCGTAAAAACATGCATGTATCAAACTAGATATCGCGTCAGTTAGACGTTGTAGCACTTAGATTCAATGATCCGTCAAAATAACACATGTCTCGTGATTTTTAGTAGCAGTACAAGTAATATTATAAATTATGTTGTAAAGGCAGTGAGAGAGAGAGAGAGAGAGAGAGAGAGAAACTATTCTCGTTCAGTCATGACACATTTACAGTTATTTCACTGCGAATCACAGTAAAAGCGATTGGCAAGAGTAGCGAAACGATGATGGAAATAACGACCAATGTTACAATACAAATTGAATTTAGTGTTTATGGGACGCGGAATGGACAATACCGATAATAATATAACGGCGATGCATTATCTGTGATATTTGTTTTATCAAATTACTAATATTATCCGATTGTTGTTAATGTATTATGGAATAACGATGAAAATGAAGAAATGTAGAATAACGTTTTTTAAAAAATACAGCCTTTTCACAGCGGCAAACTTTACGATAAAAATGTATACAAAAACAGATTGAAAATACAATAATTGATAACCTCCGTTGTGCAATTCGATAAAAACTCGGGACGAGTAGCTTTTATCGTGTAAAACGTGAGGTAAACAGCATGTCTCATTCGTCGATGAAATACTCAAGTAATACGAAAAGAAAGATTCCTTCGATGTTCAGAAAGAAAACATGAAACACGATCGTGGCTTCACGCTGAGCGAGATAAATAGACGGCTGGACCGAGTGCAGAAAGAAATTGCAAGAAAAAGAACATGTAAGGGAATGACGACGTGGCGAGAGACGGCAGGACGAAGTATCCCAGAATTTGCAACCTAATTTGCAAGAGCAACTTCGTAGATATCGTGTTTTCGTTAATTATAACGTCACTTTGAAAACATTCTCGTTCCACAAAATTTATCGAGAGATAAAGCTTAAACTGGTTGCAACTTTCTATTAATTACGGAACTCCAACGAGACTGAAAAGTAAGTGTACGTTGCGCAATATACTAATAAAAAGATTGTTAGCGGTTCAGTTAATCATTAGCCGGTCTCTTGTACTTGAAACTAATCAATGTGAGCATAGCGAATCATATAAAGATATCAAAAATATCAGCGAAATTGTTTATCAGTGATAACGAGTTAACATCTCGGTAAAATGTGAGTATCTCGCAGGCAAGAAAAAAGGTAAGAAAAAAAATCGACTCTCAAAACACAAAATGCACGCCGCAACGATTTCGTTCGTTCTGTCATCACTTATCACATATTTAGTCGCGCGTCACTGACACCGCGGAGATAACCAGATCCGTTTTAGCGCCAAACCGCGCATAAAGGCTTGAGGATGAGACGTATTTACGTACGATTAGTACGGCAATATTGTGCCGCACAATCATTTCGCGACACTTGCACTTGAGTAACCGAGAATATCAGTTAAATGTCGCCCGATAAAGAAACGTTTTCAAAGAAACTTTAACAATGTCGTCGCTTTTCCCGCTTCTGTATTTCGCAAAAAGATTTTTATCAAATATTTACGCTTCAATAAAACCTTTCCGAATAATACAATCGTTAGTAACTATATAATATCGCAACTATTAAAATGTGCGTATTTCGTGTAAATATATCGCTAATATATATATTTGCTGATCGTTCGGTTGCTTCGATTTGCGAGAGCAGCGTATGTACAGCGCGTCTTGCACTTTAAAGCGTGCATGCTAAAGATAAAGAGACATGTCCGATATGCATGCAGAAAGCGTCTAGGCCGCGAGCGAAAAATTCTAAGATGGATTTTGCCTTATCTCCTGTCCTCGGTAATCATTTGTAAGAATTGGCCAATCCCCGATTCTTTTTATATTTAATAAATTGTGTGTGAGATGTTTCTTCGACAACAATGATTTCGCAGCCCGTTTTCCGTTTCGCTCTTCCTTTTTCGCTACCCTCGACGGATTTCAGTCTACAATGGCATAAAATTCCGAGAAATAAATATGTATTCTTGAATTTGCCAGACCGTTTCCCTCTTTATGTTACAATTTCTCCAACTTGCACGATTCTCGTGAACTATGGTACGGCGATCGCATACACACAAACGTATATAAGTTCAGTCGCGGAAATTCTGCCCTGCAATGTGAGCAGTTCGTTGCGCGAGTCAAATTTAAACTTTCCGTCGTGTTTCTCACAAAAGTACTTAACTCCCGCGAGAACTTACTCCGCTTGAAGAGCTTCGGCTTCGAGAAATTCTGGAGATGAGCTTTATCGCGTCTCTTCGCTAAAGTGCCGCTTTCTCGAAACGCACGTTTAAGCGCACTCGTGCGCCGCACGGGTCGCGGAGTCACGTTTCACAAAGGAAATCTTCCGGCGTGCTCCTCATACCGGGTATCGCTTTCGCGACTCTCTGCCTGCCGGATTCGTGATATTCCCCCGCCTTTCCGACGACTCTCGCATTCGAAGTGGTAACGCGAATCGGTCGCCTCGGGTTACTCACGACGCTCAAGGGAGGATGATAATCTTCCGCGCGCGGGTGGCGATCGACATGGGAAACGGAAGTTCTGTCAGCTCTCCAGCGCTTTTCGCCCGCAAACACCTCGTTTAAGCACACGGGATCCGCGATGCCTCTTCGATAACTCTCATTATCTCTAATCGACGACGCTGACGTCTCGTGAAATTTTCTCGCGTCGAACGGTGCGATCTGATGGCTCAATTTCGGCATCGTTTTTACGGCGTACCTTGGAATCGCAAAATCCACGTTTGCAGACCTCGATTCCGATATTTCGTCGGTGAGAACGATAGGAACAATCGTGATCTTCTCTTTCGCCCTGGGTAAACGAAGATATCGCGCCTTTCTGAATTCTGTCGTCGTCAAATCTGCCTCATCTCTCTTGAACTCGGAAAGTCTCGGCGGATCTTTCGCAGTCGGAAGTCGAGAGTCAACTTTCTGAACGCAAAAATCGCGTTTGCTCACTGCGTCAGCGAGCGCATCTCGTTTATTGGCTTCAACGGAGCATATCTTCGTGGGAGGCATGATCTTCGCCATTTCTCCCGAGGAATCGGCGCGCACTTGTTGCACGAAAATGCTCGACACCTTAGCGAGTAGGACGTTATTACTCGGAGATGTTGTCGTTGACGAAGCGGTCGCCAGACGTGAATGTTGAATAGGACTAACGGCTCGGCTGGTGTAACGCTTCTCGACGATGGTACGAAATTCCGTGTTCACGCAGACGACACGAATCTGAGGAACGCCAGCTGACGCTGATACTGTCCGCAGTACCGCACGATCAGGATCCACAGGCTCGATCGATTTTAATGCAACTGCAGACGAGGGGATTCGATTGTCTTCGGCGACGCGTTCGGTTTCGGTTAGAACGCTTTTGTGATAATTGCTACCGCGATCGGCGAATTTCGTTTCAACGACCATCGAATTTTGATTACCCGAGAGAATCTCGGAATGTTCGTCCGACCGTTTATTCGCTGTTCCTTCGACAGTGGACCAATTGTTATCGATCACTTCCACAATGGACACCGAAGACTTACGTCTGCGGATCTCAAAAGAATTGCTAGTCGACGTCCGCGAATCTTCCACAGTCCGATATCGATGCGAATTGTACTCCATTCTGCTGAGGACATTTGAAGGATTTGTAGTGACCGTATCGCGAGGGTACCAACCGTCCCATGCAGAAGTGGCTTTCTCTATTACAGTTTTAGACTTGCGATAGGGTTGAAAATTGCTATTGGAAACGCATCCGTTACGAGAACGGTCATCTAGAACATTTTCTCCGTGAAACGTACGGCTATTGACGGTCGTCGGAAAGTAAGATATGCTATTTCCGATCCGACTAGAGGATCGAGGACCATCGAAGTTCTCGAACGCGCGAGTGGGATCGCGTACGGCGAAACTTAACGCCTCCTGTCGACGAGTCGAGCCGTTCTCGTTCAACCAGCTGGTACGAGAGCCTCTTGGAGTGGTCGGTTTACCGACCACGGAGAAAGTCGAAGGCGGCGCGGTCTTATCGACGAGAGCGGATCGATTCTCGGCGCCAAAGCTGATTCCCGTGCAGGCTTGTCGCAGACGCGTCTGGCCGCGATTGGGAAAATAATTGGACGTGCACGGCGACAGCACAGATTGGCCGAACGTGTCGTCTGGCCGATCCAGACGACAGGAGACGTCAAGGTCGAAGCCCGTGCCGCTGAGACCCAATGCCCGAGCCTTCCCGATAATCTCGTTATATTGGCACCGGAGCGAACTCAATTCGTGGTCTATTTTCATCAGCGTCTCGACGTCGGTGGACACTCGTGGGTGTCTCTTCGTCTTGCCGGCGTCATACGGCAAGGCGAGAGGGTCCGAAAGATTCGGTGGGAAGTAGACCGACTTGATGGAGGAGCACGGATTCCTGGCGACGTCAACGAGGACGTCGTCGTTTGTCACATTGGCAGTACCCTCGTCATTGACGAATGTCGGAATTGCGTCTCGCCGTGGATCCCAATTCATCGCGCGATGGTTATTTTTCGTTTCGTGAAGCGTCACTTCCGCCACGAGCTCCTCTGACCTCCCGTCATTAATCACCGTCGTATCCTACAGAGAATGAAGGCTATCGTGATCGTGGGAAGGACGATCGATTTATCCCTCTCCTCTACAACTCTTTATACTTTATTTATTCTAATAGACGCTTTATTCTAATACGCGAATCATAAAATATTTCCAAACGTCAAAAATGAAAGATTATATATAAATGGATAAATAAATCTTCACACGTGACTACTCATAATTTTTCATAAATTTCATTGCGAGGAAGATAAAGCTACTTGATTCGTTGGCGTTAAACGTCCATAAACGTACGCAAAGTATCGGCAGCTTCGTTCTTGGCGCGAGTCGCCTCGTCTCATATCGCCGGCCACGAAAATTGGTCGTCGCGCCGGTCGTTAACGAGACCGTCGAAGGATAAGGAGAGATAAGCGGCGCCATCCTCTTGATAATCATAGACATTTTCCTTTCACGCGCGGACGACGAGGCGGACATTAACGCGACGTCAGCAGCTGTAAAATCCATGGAAACGCCGCTCGGGATTCCGCCGCTTTTCAGGATCGGCAGGGATTTCGACTGTGCCAAATTCTCAGGCATCAAAATAAGGCTATCATGGGCGTGCGTGGTTTTCCGGGTTAACCTGTTTTCCATGAGTTCGTGCGACGAATCGGAAATAACTTCTCTCTTTATCGCGGATACGTTCCCATCGAACGCGGCGCGTTTGCTCAAGGAAGCGCTTTTCTCCTTGAGGTAAACGCAAAGCGATTCTTTGGCTCGCGCTCCGTGAATTCTGTTGCCGCTCCGTTTCGAAAGGATCATGCCTTCGCTAGACGTTTCATAATCTCCCTCTGCATAAAACGGGACAATTTGAATGCCGTAAATTCATTATTTTATTTAGTACAAATATCGTTTTAAACGTAAAAATACTTAAATTGCAGATAAATCATTAAAAACGCTACATCAATTAAATTTCGTTAAAAAGGAGAAAATGACGAATAAATTAACTGTTTAAAATATTTCATAAAAATAGTAAACTTATAGAAAATGTAGGGGATATAATATAATAAAATGCAATAAAAACAAAATAGACTTCGTCTAGAATTTCTTTTTCCTAACTTTAATTAGAGTTCAACGGAGTAGTGATACATCACTTTTTTTTAAGAACTCGAGCTAAGTAACCTATAATATATCTTAATCTTTTATAAATTTTTTTATATTAACTTCATTCAAGTGAATAAAAAAAAGTATTAAGGATAAGACAATGGCTGCGTTAATTATTTCGTTTCCAAGTTACATTAATACATGACTCGCACAGATTCAATTCTAACAGTTCTAAGATTAATGTCTCTCTCCCAAACCAACCGTCCGTATCGGATGCGCAAGTGGTCGGGACGAAACTCGACACCGGTCGGACCGATCTTTCCGGTTCGTTCAGCCCGTCTCGTCGTGTCGCGTCGACGGGGAAAGACGACGGGGACGGGACGGCGGAGGCTCCACGTCCCTGGCAATCTGTGCAACTGGCCTTCGGGTCGCGCGACATTGTCACACAAGAGCGAGAGGTTAGCTACAAACCGTCCTGCATCCCGGCCGGCTCCGCCGTTTCGCGGATGTGCAATCGTCACTAACAGACAACGCGACGACACGATGCACTACTACGGTGTTCACGCGGTGCATAATTTCGCGAAACTGGGAGAGACGTTGTCGGCAGTTGCGCCGAAGGAAGCTGAACGAGCAGACGTTGGCAGCCCGTGTGACAAGCGAAATGACATCGGCCACGGTCGACAAGATGCGAAACGACACTTTACAATTAGTGTCGTGGCATATTTCGGAAATATCCTACCTCTCTCTCTCTCTCTATATATATATTTTATTTCCACATTTCTGTGAAATTATTTATGAAACTTTTGCGTAAGGTCAACGTGATATATATTTGTCGTTTGCATACATTTGCATGCACTCAAGATTTCGATCTCGCGGCGCTTATACACAATTGCGATATATATTCTTGCGATATATATTTTCGTCACAACTATATTTTGCGATTTTTACAATCGTGAATATAGAGATGGCTTTTGCTACATCGGAAAGTGGAGGCGCGCCTCCCTCATTGTGCCCTTTTTTTCGCGAGTGGCGGTTTCAGTACACATATATATATATATATATTGCAAACTTTCGCGCGTGTACGTGATCTGTCTATGACAATATAAACTCAGTGGATTTCAAATGGCAGGGCCTTTTTTTTGCGACCAGGTTGCAACCCGGTGCAACCAATGGTTTCTGAATTGTCCGAAGTAACGAGACCAAACTGCAACAATACAAAAGCCGCGAGCAACTGCACTCGATATCGCAATTACACGTAACAAAATACGGTAGATGTTCTAGCAATGGAGCTCGAATAGTAACAATAAATTCGCAAAAGAATATGGTCTTCCGGATATAAAGAAGATAATATCGTTCTGCGAATTAAAAACGATCGTGCAAAAACATTTATCATTACGAAACAAAGTGATATTATATCTACGTTATAATTACAAGATATATTACAGGATATCACTTACAAAAATACTTAAAATTTTCGAAAACTAAATCGCTGTATCATAAATGTAATTCGTTTGTGTTACTTGAATTACGAAAATTGAATTTAGATAGGAACAAAGTAATTAACACATAATAAATAATTTTATTGTTAAAAAAAATCCAAGCGTGGAATCGATAAATTTTTGCTGTCGATATAAGTTACGTAAGGGAAGAGTTGACGTAAGGGAAGAGCTGACATAAGGGAAGAGAGATAAGAACAGCAGAGGAAAAAGATACATCGCATCCATGGGAAACTCAATATGTGAGATAAAAGGGAGAGAGAATACGTTAAGTAACTCTAGTGGTTACGTCCACGAAATATGGACGAGCAAGTTTCGGTTGATAGCCCGGCGTGTGCCGGTACTCGGCGAAAGTGTAAAGATCGCCATTTCGACACGCGTCAACTTCGATCGCTGCATAAGTAGCGTTGCTTATAAAGCAACCGAATTTTCGTAAAAGGCGCACATCCTAATCGGTACACATCCAGCCAGAACTGAATAAAATCATATTACGTAACGATATGTTAATCCAAAGCATTTCTAGCTGACTGTAATTTACATAATAATCGAGGGTCACCCGAACAGCGAGATTCTCGGGCCATTTAAGTAATTAGTAAATAAATTATATCTGCCAATGGGAGATGCCATTATAATACACATAGTTTATGCCGTGGTTAAACCGGAAATTTCTGTGATGAGCTCGATATATTTAAGATATCTAAAGTTGATTTCCAGTTATGCGGTATTTTTCACTGCCTCGTGCGGAATATTTTTGGCTCTATTCGCAAAAGAAACGGGTCCTGCAACTCCCGCATTTCATAACTTTTATATCAGCCTTTCTACATTTGCGCTATAGCGGATTTAGCGAACCTTCGGCAGAAGTTACGACACTCCACTAGACTTGTAAATATCCTATTTCTCACTGATGATGGTGATGCGGATTCACGATACCAAGTTTCTGAAGTTTCAACTATATTCACGTCGCATATTTACTGCACATCGTGGCCGCAATTTCGACGGATACTCGTATAAATGGAAAATATTCCGCGAAGGAGAGGCCACGCATTTTCCACCACCGTTTGATTCTACAATCCCATTTTCTCGCATGATATGTATCGTATAGTATTTATAGCTTCACACCAGAGTACAGAATGTCTTATTTAGCCAACTCATGATTTTAAAAGAGCTTTCTCGAGTCTAGATATCATTTACTGTAACGTGAAATATCGCGTACATGTTATAAGACAATACTTGCCAAGCGAAGCTTAAAAGTCATTAAAAAATATACATTTTTACTATAAATTTTACTGGAATATTATAATTTACTTTCACACCGTTTTTAATTGTGTCTTCTCGATAATTATAAATTGAGCGAGATAAAACGAACGACGAACTCGTTGCATGATTTCGAAGATTTATTTGCGTAATTCATATAATGCCATGAACTTCGAACGCGACGACGTAACAGAAAACGTTTATATGCAATTTCGAAATGACTCATTACGCTTCTCCGAAGAAAGGGGCAAACGCACGAGGCAACAAAACCGGCTCAGTTGCATGCGTTAGGTAACGAGCGGAACCGAAAGATCGAGCCTGCACAATGACACAACCGGTAGAATCGTCACTCTTTCGTGCGAGAAGTGGTACTTCCTTGCTTCCCGTTTTTCTCAAGGTTTGGTTCACCGATATTGCTTTCTTTGACGAAATTTCTCTTAATCCACTGTCATAGCAGATTAATGTTAATTCCACGTGACAAGCTTGATTCGGTGCACTTGTAATAAAGTAAAATAAATTCATATAAATGCCTATGTCACTAAATAAATATACAAATGTTAATCTCGCAGAAAAATATTTGTAATATTTTTTTTAGTACACTTTTTTTCGTAACAGTTTTTCAAAATAAACCGAAAGAAAGAGAGAGGGAGTATATCAATTATATAAAATTATATAAAATTAAAGAAAAAAGTTAAAGAGAAGTGGATCATAATTCCGAGCTTCTTTCTTTAGTTTACGTGCATTATATCGATTTATTATTATTTTACGCTATTCGCGTGACGTTAAGCGAATTTATCGAAGGATATCGCACCCCCGAGAGAGTGATCTCCACCGTTCGATCGCATCGATATATGTGCGATCGAGAATACGATGGAGAATTACGGCTGTGGGTCTCCTATGATATTCAAGAACCACCATTTCATGCGGTCGATTGATCGCGGACGAAATATTCGTTCCGCGATTCAACGAGGCCGCGTGAACCGAATATATACTATTGCCCTCCTACCGGCGTTGCATCGCGCGCAGTCGTAATGCCGAAACTTGTTCTATCACGATTGTTAATCAAAATGGCCAGCGGCGAGAAATTTTCATATTCATGAGCTTCGACTATTACGTTATGCACCTATTGTTAATGCATCCACGATTCCGTTCGATCGGTTGATGCTAAAAGGGTGATTCGACCCCTTTCAATTCCATAACATCAATCGACATTATGTCAATTATTTCGTGTACGTCAATCTTCGTGCAAGAAATTAGCAAGTAATCTGTAATACATAAATTAACTTTTTATTCAATTAAAATCAAGACCAATGGTTTAGCTATTATAAATAATAGCTATAATATTTATATGTATTACGTATCAAATATTGTAAACAAATTATAAACTATTCGATATTTTTATCAAGAATACTTTGTACGTGAATAGCAAATATAAATGCAGCAATATACATATGTACATAATCGTTGCATGAAATCATAATTGTATTTACTTATTAAATACAATACTGTTAATTAATTTGTTAAGATGAATAATTCGTTCATATATGCGTAAAAGGTATTATTTTAAATTATGAGATTATAAAATATCGATATTTTAATTGCTGAGCAATCAACAATCAAAAGCGCCAATAGAAAGACTTAGAGAAACAGATTCATTAAATTCAAGTGACACAATACCAACAATTTCCCACTGATGTTTAAATTCATAATTAATAATGCTGAATGCACAAATTTTTGCAAGTTATTCCTTCAATTTACATATGTTTCGTGCAATAAATTATATATCAATTTTAAACAAGATATCTGTATGCAACAAGTAATAAAGAGAGAAAGAACCAAATTCGACCAAGGCTAGATGTTGGTTGCCCAATAATATTTTCAAGTTCTTTACAGTGTTTCAGGATGCTTGTAGCATAATCGAATTGAAGATCAATCTAATTTATGATATTACTTCAGCTTTAAGTTATAATTGTGTTTTTAGAGACAATAATCGGCGCGCAGTTTACGTCAGCTGAAATTTAAAAGATTTAAACATTAAAAACATTATTGGGCAACCATCATCTAGCCTCGACCGAATTCTCTTCCCCTTTATTACTTGTAAATAATATATTTCATTATCAAAATAATTTAACTGTCTCGTAAAATGTCGTCCGACGTGACTGCAGCACTTCTTTCTTCTTAATTATTAAAAATCGTCGTCTCTGTCAAAAGTAAAACCGTCGAAATTCAATTATTGTTAATGGATCGACGTCGTGTTGCTCAAGGTAGCAGAATTTATATTTAATAGGAGAATATTATTTTCTCCGGAATAAATTATTAAGAGCCTTTTGACGAAAAGTACCTCAAGTGCCTCGCTTTCGTGTTCTTAGATAACGAGCTTACTTAAGGCAACCGAGACTACCGAGATAAAATAGAAGACGGAGGGAGGAGGGGGGCAATAACCCGCGCGTTAAAGGGCTACCGACAAAATCGATTGAGCCATCGACGATCGGTCGGTGTCATAAACTTCGCCGGGATTCCCGCAGGAAATCAGGAGGTGGTTCGAGAAAGGAGACAGCACGGGAATAGGGCGCTCCTTTTATCGTCCTCGTATTTTTCCACAGTAACATGTTTCTCTTCCCTTCGTCCTCTCCTACCTTGCGGTTTGCGGCATCCGAAGTAGGCTACGTGGAAATTTTATCGCCGCGCGAGAAGGAAGGGAGGGTTATACATATGAAAGTGCTAAAATCGCAAAATAATATTTCGCTGTCGCGTACTCGCCGGAATATCGTCATTTCTTTGCAATATACGTGAATTTTACAAACTACAAACTATAATCGCGATCGTATCGACGTGGTCTAGTAAAAAAATTAATGAGAAGAATTAATGTGCTATTCAAAGTAACAATAAAAAAACAATAAAAAAATGTAACCTGTTAATGCGGCAAACATCATTAACATTAGCAGTTCGTTTATTTATAACCGAGTCAAGTGATATATCGCTTTCGGTAAAATTAAAATGCACTCGCCCCCGTGGTAAACCAGTATTTTATTTTGACGATCCCACACAGCCGATCTCTAAGCTGACATTTTCGTACCGTCCGCGTCGCGTCGTCTGCACTCGGCGCGTAGATTCGCGAAGAAAAAAAAATAGCATATCTTCGCCGGGCGGTGTCTCGGATGTCTTAATTGTTTCCTTTTACGGAAATTCCACGGGCGAGCAAAAACGATCCGCAAATGCCGAATATTCCTGTTATTCGTATTTCGTGGTGAGACGCGCGCTCGATGGCCACGTTACGATACAATTTACATCTGCGGCACACCCGTCGTACAATTTAAATAAAGCCCATCTTCGCGGAAAAATGCGCGTCATGAATGTAAAGCACTTTCTGAAAATCGGCACGATGCATGCGGAGGAACGATGCATTTTCGTCGAGACAATTCTTAAGATGAAAATCTACATGGGTTACGAAAACCCGCGAGCTCCGAGTTATTCCGTGACGTGTAGATTTATGTTGCGCTATGAAACGGAAATGGTTTATACCGTTGTTATTGTGCAATGTGAGAAAATATCGTGAGTGACTTTTAAAAACAGCCAGGTATTTCGTAATCGTTTTGCAAACTAGCAATGGTATCGCGTCGATCTCTGTCAAGAGGAGAATTAGACATCGTAAACTTTTATTCGCCAACGCGAAATTACGAACTACGCGAAATGTAAAAAACAAAACGACGAAGATGGTTTAATTTCTCATTAAAAGGTAACTCGATACCTATTTACTTGTGATATTTTCCAACGGGTTGGTCGTACCCGTCGTCGCATTATAACACGATAATAAATGCTCGCAGGATAGCACCAATAAATATTTTAGAAAGAAGCCGACAACATCTTCGAGTTCCGGTTGTTCCACGAGAATCAAGTAATTTATATTCCGAATCGCAAGATGATCATTATTAAAATGGATAATGTCTTGGACTTGTCACTCGATACAATACATATATAAATACATATATGTACATATATATAAATTATACATACATATATGTCGATTTTTTTAATGAAGATGTGTCTAAAAAGAAATTATTAGGACCTCGAAAATATGTAAATCAGATAACATTCTGTATATATTAAAATATCAAGGTATAAAATTTTGAAATTTGTCAGCAAAACCAGTGTTTTAATAAATGATTTAATCATAATTTAATCGTAATTTAAATCAATATTATTCATCTATAATCTATCATCTGTGAACAAGGAAAATTTTAAAAATAATGAAGAATATACAGAAAGATAAAAAACTATTGTCCCCATATTTTGGAATCTTAAATAAAGCGTTTTAGATCTAATCTCTCATAAAAAGAGGAATATAGAATTATGTTCAATATCTTGCGATTAGGATTACTAATATCATTCCGCAATATAGAAAAATTTACAAAGGAAAAAAATGATTTTTAATACATTACATATATATATAAAATGTATTAAAGATCATTTTTTTCTTTGTAAATATATATATATATATATATATATATATATATTAAAAAATATCAGGCTCTTCCTGAGGATTTGTTATGTTATACATCAATCAATCCTGATTTTGCCGCAAGCGCCGTCTCGTACGCCGATCGGTAAAAGTTAGCCCTTTACAAAAAGAATGAAGGAAACGGAGACGGCGTTACTGATATACACGCCAGTTGTAGACAATTACGCACGTAACAGCCGCGTAATAATGCGGAATCGGACCCGTTTCGAGAGCAAGTCTGCCACGGGTCTGGCCGTTACGTCAGAGCGGAGAATCGGATGGACCGACCGGTTGCAAAAAAAATAAATGGGAGGTGCGCGGATCGCGGAGCAGGGCGTGTTTCTCATCGTTTCAGTGAAAGTAATCACCAGCATACATCGTGAACCGGGGACATTTTGTATAAAAACGCCGATCGACCGAGCTGATGGCACACTCGATCCAAAACTACCACGAGATACAATGAAGTTCTTCGCGGTAAGTCGAAGGAATTTCTTATGCACCCGCTCAGGCCGGTGCACAAAAGTACGACGGTTATTCACCGTCGTACATCTCATCTCTTTAACAATATCTTCATTATTCAGTTAGTTTAGATTTGCTAAAGCGCTCGTTTTATCATTATAAATGAAATTACATTGAAATTATATCCTTAATATGCATACGCTCTAAAAGAGCTATATTACAAAAATATTAAATTATCTAATTATATTAATTAATTAACACAAATAATTAAATACGTAATACGCATAATATTTAATTTAATTATTAAATTAAATTAATTAAATTTAACAATGTAAAGTCTGTCCTTTACCTTTTGTTAATTCGAACGCTACTCTTGATTTCGAAGAGTGTATTAATTCTTTTTTTCTTTCTTAAAAATGTGCAGATTGTGCTGTTGGCAACCGCCGTGTTGGCGGCAGAGAAGAAGGAAGACCCGAAGAAAGACAAACGGAGTCTGCTGCACGGTGATATCGGCTACGGTCTAGGCGGCATCTCTACCTATGGTCTTCACGGCGGTATCTCGAACTACGGCTACGGTCTTGGCGGTCTCTCGGGCTACGGCTATGGTCTGAGTGGATATCCGATCGGGCTCGGATCGACGAGGATACTCTCGGGATCGGGACTCTCAGGATACACCGGTAACACCCTCGCCGGCGCCTACGCTTCCGGTCTGGGATACGGACTGGGAGGTGCTTACGGAGGTTACTATGGCAGCAGCCCATACATCTACGGTGCTACTGGTCACGCCACCGGACTCGGCATCGGTCATGTGTTGCCCAGCGGTTTGGCGCATGCTAAAACCGAGCGCATCACCGGTCTCACCGTGCACCGCGAGGTCCAAGTGCCGGTCCCGGTGCCGCAGCCAGTCCCCGTCGAAGTAACCAGGCACGTGCCCGTCCCGCACCCCGTGCCCGTCAAGGTGGACCGTCCTTACCCCGTGCCAGTAGCGCAACCAGTACCTGTTCCAGTCACTCGCCACGTGCCCGTAAGGGTCGAGCGTCCCTACCCAGTTCCGGTACCGCATCCCGTCGAAGTACGCGTGCCACAGCCGGTGCCGGTTCCGGTCTCGCACCCGGTGGCCGTTCCAATCTCCGTCACGAGACACGTGCCGGTCTCCGTGCCATCAGCCGTAAGCGTCGTGCCATCAACCGTCGGCGTCATACCGTCGACCCTCGGCGTTGGCGTCGCCCCGTCGACCGTCGGCGTTGGCCTCGTCCCGTCGACCCTCGGCCTCGCGTCTGGACATGAATATCTGGGATCCAGTTTGGGAGCCATCTCGGGCACAACTCTGACCGCCGGTCATGGACTTGGCTTGGTGGACGGTGGCCTCGTCTCAAGTGGCCTAGTCAGCAGCGGTATCGCTGGTGAACACCTTGCCGGCGTGGAGCACGTTGGACTCAGCAGCGGCGTGATACCGACTTTGGGATCCACCGGCGGCGCAATCGTTCACGACGGTCTCGACACCGCATATCCCATACATTCGTTGAGGAAATGGTAAACTCAAACCGACAACTCGACTTGGACGTGTGTCTTTTAAGGCGCTTCTCGAACGTAATTCGCAGACCGAACGTGCAAAATACTAATTGTGTTATGTACGTTGTCGAATAAATTTATATATTTTTCTACCGTGTTTCACAGAGTCGTTATTTAACTGTATTATGTTAAGTGCAGTTATGCGATTATACCGCGGCTCTCTTTAAGATAATCATTCAGATCCCTAATATTCTGTAACGTTTTACCATTTTCGTTAAATAATTATGATTGTCCAGAGATCTGAACAATTATCTTCCTACAATTTCTTTTATCTCTCAATACAACTGTTTTATAATAGTTTCTGAAACAAATTCCGGTCTAAATTTCTCTAGTCCAATAAGTTAGACATGCCCTTTGTAAATCTTATCGAAAATAAAGAATTAAAAGAAAAAAGAGTACAGTTCAAAAATTTCCTGTGTCATAAAATGGGGGAAAGGAACAATACCGTATCGAATAATCTAAGAATAGAATTGTGTTCGGACACGAAATGCGAGACCAAAGTCCGAGCGATATTAAAAGCTTCAAGGAGCCGCATATCAAAACGCAATATTATCCGTGATATTTTTTTGTCGATATATCTAATGAAATTTTTTTTTTAGAATAATCTCGTTTATATTTGTCTTTTTCTGTTCGTTCGTCAAACATAAAATTATAACGTTCATATAAAAGCATAACGTTGCGTAACAAAGCGAGGTATTAAATGAAAAGGTTGGGAGTAACATATGTTCACCCATCCTCCCCGGAGTCAAAATGGAGGTGCCTCGACAAACACATGGCACATACAATGAAATCGATGCAATTGACTATACTAGCATTTTGCAAGGTGGGAGGAATGACGTCACGAAGTTTCTTTCGCGTCACACCGTGCTTGCAAGCTGGACACAAATCGGAGCTTTGTGAATAGACAAAGCGCAAATCGATTTCTCAGCTAAAAGAACTGAATAGAAAAGTCGGTTGTATCAGAAAAAAATAAAAAAAATTTCCAATTAGCTTTACAATTAGCTTCTTTTTTATCTTTCTACGGATTGAAACATAAAACCTTTTACTGTTATAAAATGAAATTATAAATAGTAAATTACAAAATTTATATATTACTATATGAGATACATAACAGTCATTGCTCTTTTGTGTATAACAATATAAAGAATATAGGTATATTTATATACATTTACTTTAAGAAATATATTAATTTGAATTTAATAAATTCAATGTGACCATTTAACACTAATTTTAATTTTAATAAAAATGGCAGAAAAATAAATTGTTTAATGTCGATAAAAATAATATGTATAAATTTTTAACGTAATGTACATACATATAATTGTTTGTAAAATTTTTACAAACAACTTTTTTGTTGGTAATAAAAATTAAAAATTAAAGTTAAGAATAATATAAGTAAAATATCTACTTTTTCTATGAACGATAACGTTCAATAAATTATTATCACAATAATGTTTTCGTTTAATATGCGAGAATAAGACATTCTGTGATACACAAGGAGTGGACATTATCGCTTGAAGCTATCAGCATCTGTGTAGTTTGCTTCCATTACCTTGTGTTAATTATCTCTTTTTTGCAAGCAATATATATATATGTATATTATTGATACAACGTTCATATTTCAAGTATCAACCTTCAGATTATTATTTTAAACAATTTTCGCGGTTTACGTTATATGTTATTATTCATTCGAGGAATTTTATTGAACATCCTATAGTCTCCACACGTATCAACTACAGTCACAGCGGTTGATAAGAGACTGAAGAACCGTCGATACTATACCGGTACTATTTACCGTTCAGGTGCCTACTATACCGACATAATACTGTTAATAAAAACAACAGAGACCCCTCTTATCAACGACAAAACTCATGTAATATAAACGCAACAACGTAATTATTTAAATAGAAATAATCAAGACTTACAGTACAACGAACCGTATGTGGAATGCAATTGAATAACTCCAAACTCACCTGAAACAATTAAAAAATCAATGCTGTTTTATTTTTTTCAAGTAGAAAATTTCTTTATAAATAAAACTTTATCTTAGAAGCTATACCTATGTTATAAAGCAAGTATTTACAATGATTTCATTTTTAGATATGTAAATAGATATAAGATTCCTCATTTCACTTATAAACACGAATTTTAATTAGCGCAATCTTTTTAATTTTCAGCAGAAAATATTACAGCATAAATTGAGGAAATGGAGCGAGAATATGGGACAATTTCTGCATATTATACATTATGTTATAAATATTAACGAATCTCTCTATCTCCGACAATGAAATTAGCTGCTGCGGAACACAAGTGTGCGATATATTGACAGATTGTCACTCAAATTTACTGTACTTTCCAACACGATTTACGTCTTGTTTGCACATAACGATTCGTCCGTTTCGCGGTGTTCGAGTAAATAGTCGGTTTTGCTCGTTCGCACAGAATTGCGTACAGAACGGTCGTTTTTCCGTCTACAGCGAAACGAATCGTTGAATAAAAAAAAACCCTGTCTCAGTTGCTGGATAAAAAAAATATTTTTTTGTACGTTCTATCTGTTTTAAAACAATTTTGCGCAACAAACGGAAAATATTACTGCAAAATGTTTCCATTACAATTCATCGTTTTTATTTGCGTCAATGTAGTATTGAGTACAGAATCCATTGCAAATCTTTCATTTCTTTTTGCAAAATCATCCTGATGAGAATGAAAAACGTAAAAAAAGGTTTTTAATTCGTTCCATACATTTTCGATTTAGTTTCGCATTTTATATTCTGATTGCCATGTCCCAAAAATACTTTTTGGCGAAAAACGGATCGTTTTGTCGAGATTACACAAATGCACTTATGTAGTGCCGTGATTCACTTTGAAGTCTGTGCAAACCGTATTATTTAGTTTTAGGGATCAAAGCCGCGCGATTTCACTTGCGTCAACATAATGCACACCCGATTTTCGTACAACAACGAGCGCCTAACTTCCGTACAAAAATGATTTTACGCGTAGAAATTAATCCTGTTCAAATACGAAGTGGCACGTGCAGTGCAGAGGAAGAGATAGTATTAATATTATAGAGCAAAATAATTAATTAGATGTATATATATTAATTACTATCAATCTTGTTATGTTTGTCAAATGGTATCTAAATTTCTTTTTATCGAAAGTAGAAAAATCTATAATAAATATATTATCACCATCTCATTAAAGTGTATGTCAAATAATCTGAATATCTTTACCGTATTTTTTTTGTTTTGCAAAATCACATCATATTAATTTTTTATTTGTAATTAATAATTATTGCCGTCACTTACTGCGCGTTACGTAAATTACCGATAAAATAATAACTATGAATTAATAACTTTTTTTAAAGAAGAAATTATAATGCTAAGTTCTTAAATATTCCCGCGAGAACCTCATTGAAACATCCTGAGATAGATCTAGGTCAGATATATTGACATTATCACGTCGTATCATACCCTGTGTGTACAAGAGTAATCCCAGAGGATCATTTCGCATCTTGTAACACCCCTTTCGACCCTCCCCAAGATATTTCATTACGATTACGGTCAGCTAAATCAGCAGAAACGCAAGTACCGCTCTTCAAGTGATTAATTACTTGCAAATAACGGTTAACGATACCCCTACCTAATTCAATAATTGCCATGGAAATGAAACTATAGCTGGCTCATTTTCGAGCACGGACGTACCCGACTGACCATAGGTACATGCCAATTTGACCTATTGATTGAAGCTACCCATTGTGACAATATTAACCGTCTTGATCGCCTAATATGTGTCCTCGATGGCCATATATCTCATAAGCTCGAATGCATCATTAAATACTGATCTCGACATCTCATATATCTGAACAGGTCTCGAAGCCAAAATTGCAAGGATCGACGACGCAAGGGATAACGAGTAAAAACATCTTTTGGCAAGTTCTGCAAAACATCTTAAGACGTCACGAGCACGTATATCAACTTTTACGTATATTATTTAAAGTTGGAAAGCGCGCAAAGTTGCACGCTTTCTTTATACAAATACCATCGCGTACCCTAGACGAAATAAGAATTCTCGAAATTCCTCTCAATCGTCTTCGCTAACCGAGGATTCCAGAATGCCACGAGTAACTTTAAAATAACTTTGCTCTCGATGCTTATCGACAGAGCTTTCAAATTAGCCGGCCGTCTATCGACATTCGCTAACGTTTTTGGGACTGCCCGTTGAAGGACTTCCGTGCGATTTCATGAGAAATTCGCTTAATTCGACTAATGACTCGAAAGGAAAGTGGCATATGCTCGAACTGTAACAGCGGTAAGTGCTGCGCAAAATTCGAGAACCAACGATTTTCGGAAAATTTATATAAAGATTTCAAAGCACTGTTAATATTTTCAAGGGAGAACTTTTAACAATTTTAAATAACAGAAATTCATTCTCATTATTTTGTTAAATTTAAGCCAACATAGATTTAATTTGAAACGTGATATCGTGGAAAATATAAGCAGGCGATATTTCAAATTGCTATGAAAATTTTCAATTTTATTATAACAGATTTTATATAAACCTTGATCAAAGCATCCAATCCCAAATGTAATTCTCGCTGTAAGTCTCGCTGTTTAACGTTTTCCAAGTGGCTAATTACATGCGTGCAATTACGTCTACGTATTAAAGTGCACGCGTGTCTTCCGGAGTTGACGGACACACAGAATTTACATGCGTGCTACGAAAATTAAAAATCAGGTAATTCCACGGATAATTCCATAGAGAAACGAGAATGCTAAACTTCGAACAAATTACGAGCCGAACATTACGAAACCAGTTACGGAAATTGGCTCGTAAACAACCTCTCAGGAGGAGGTGAGTGGTACTTTACTCAGACGATCTCAGAACTTATGCAACCACATACTAATCTTTACGGTTTGTAAATGGAGCAATTAGACTTTGGCTTATCCATTCTATTACAACTTCGCAGATGTTAAGAACTTTATGCGACGGTATGAACCACAATCACGACCTGTTCGCCGTTAAGATCTCGCCGCCACACCCTCGTCTCCAATTGTAAATTTATTCAAGAGCCTAGATGGTCTTGATCGGTCACGCTCAACCTATCAGCCTGAACAAACAACTATCAGCCATCGAGTCTTCGCGGACAATAACAAACCTTTCAACCTGTTGGATCGACCGCGAATTAATTGAATTGGACGTTCCGCGATTACTTTTTCACAGGCACGTAAAAAGCGGAGCATGATGCGAACGAAAGGGTGATTTTGAAAGAGTACGTTCTTGAAACTGCGCTCGCGAAAAAAGAAAGAATAGAAAAAAGAAAGACACGGGAGACACGCATCATGATCGTTCGCAATAAATTGAATTTAAATTATTTTTTCAAACTCTAAACGCGACGTGCGGCGCGAGAGATCTGGCGCCGTTACTCCGTTAATCGTGACCACGGGATTCTCTCATCGTGTACATTCCATTTTGATACAAACATTCGCGAGAAACTCGATACTTCGACGCGCCGCTGAATTCTGTTCTGTGAAAACGTAAGCGAGTTCATCGTGGTCGTGGCCCCTTTGTTCCGCCGCGTAAACTGCAAACGAACCCGCCGGGGTAAAGCCACCCTTCGAGCGCCACTTAAATTACGGGATTTTCACGGGTACAAAGGCGTCAGCAAGGAGCGACGTGTCCGGCATTATCACGGGATCTGGAGGGACAATGCTATTGCTGGGTGTAGCAGCCGCGCGGGCACGGCGCGGCGCATAATAATTTTCACTTTACTTACGGGAGATAGCCGCGACAATTATCCAAGCATGCCGCCGACAAAGACTGTCGGTCGTAATTTTACGAGTGGCTCCAGCAATCTTCTTCGCGATAAACCTTCTCCCCCGCGGAGAATCTCTCCGTTGGGAATTCTCCGCGGATTATTTTGCAATTCGTGAGTAATACTGTATCGGCCGATAAAATAATTGAAGAAGGCACGAGAAGAGCACTTCCCTCTCTTTCGGGTATGCGTCAATATTGCTGCGAACGCTTTCATTTCATCGGAAAATAAACTGATACTCGAGAAAATATATAAATATAAGAGAATAACCCCGACTGTTCTAAATGCTTAAAGATAATTGACAGATAACGAGAATATTATTGTACAAATTATCAAGCAGAATTCTCATAAGAATTAATGCTTTTTATATATGTATAAAAATATAAACTACACATGTGTAAAAGTAGAAACAATTATTGCAATTATAATTACTTAATTAAAATTAATACAACATCTCGCTTAACATATTAAATAATATCTCTCTTACGCGTCAGTAATATCAAATTTTGTACTGACGCGTATACCAAACATGTAAATCTGCGTTTGGCGCATGTTTTACTGAATTTATTTTATACAAAATTATTAAATCATGTAAGTTTAAAGGAAATTTTTTTTCACTTCGGGCGTATTACTTGAGACTTCAGTGATGATAAATCATTCGGCGACTTACACGAAACATTTCGATTGAATGCCGCATAACAACAATCGAAGATAACTATAGGCTGCCAACGATACAGGATTACCTAAATGTCTAGCTAACGTGCGAGGCTGATATGAATTTATCGCATGACGTATCACAGAGCAGCGACGGGTAGTGTATATGCGTTCATCAAGACAAGAGGGTGGTACGCTTCTATCCTCGCTTGTAACAACGTGCACATGTATCGTACGAAACTACGGTACTAGTTGCCCGTGACATGGTGAAGAGAAACTAAACTGAGGAGAAAGTTCAATATTTCGTAGAAAATACGACGAAGGTTCCCGTACGTGATTTCAGAAAGTCCCTTCATTTAACTTCGAAACTTTTGCATCCTGTAACTTGCGTTAACAGCTCGGGAGAGAATACAACTCTATTTCTGCCCGCCTCTCTCTCTCTCTCTCTCTCTCTCTCTCTCTGTCTCTGTCTCTCTCTGGGAGAATAGAAAAAGTATATAGTCACTCTCGCGAGAACAACGAAAGATCAATAAAACGAAGACTTTTTTTCCGTTCTTTTTGATAGCTCATAAAATGTTCAGCGAGACAGAGATGAAGCGCACTACCCATGCTTAACCGGTAAGAGCCGAGAGTTAGGTGCTCGGTGCACGTTGTAAACGTAAGTTTTTCGCTGGGAACTAACCACCCTGTGTGTGCACGATGGCCGGTTTCTATCACCTACGGCTGATGAACTCTGAAAGACTATTTTCCTCGAGCGACAAGACGTACTATCGCGTGGGAGACTGAACGTAACTTCGTCAATATCGATGAGTCGACGAGGGTCGTCCTGCCTAAGTGTGCGTCCCTCTATATGTATATATATGTATATATGCCTGATGCACACTGATGCACATAGCCACGAGCGTCATCAACAAGATTATTATTTTCTCGAGTTTACCACCGTTACTTGCTACAAAAGCTTCTGCGAATACACGCTGCTCCTCTAGATGCAGGCGGGCAATATGTCGCTCTGGCGTACGCGTGCACGAGAAAGGCAAAGAACCCCATTAAGGTAATCAGCATAGTGATGTGTGGCGCTACGGACCAAATAAAGCATCGCAAAGTTCAAAACGCTTCTAAAATATTACACTTCCCCCTATCTTGAATAAAGAACGCTGAATAAATGTAAACACGAAGAATATTGCATTTATATCATATATTTTCCTAGAAAAATAATTTTAAATGAAAATTTTTCCTCGGAACACTAATATTACGAAGGATAGTCTTGGAATATCATTTGCATAAATTCTTTTTCAGAAAAAAAAATTAATTACTCGTTCGGACACTAAAATTTAATTGAAAGATTTTTGCGGCGAGAGAGTATAATTTTCGTGTCTAATTTAAAGCTAATGTTGTACCGCAAGAATATCTCAATGCGGAGTAAATGCGTCAATGTCTCGGTGGATGTAATGGGAATGAGCATACGACGCCAACATAAATCCCACACGTTATGTTCGCAATCGTGTAACATGACGCGACTTAATTAAAGTAACTGTCGTGCCGTGAATGCATTTATCGACACTGCGCTATCCGATGAGAGTCAACAATAGCGCGTAGCCTTAAAGCGACTTCCATAATAACACATGCGCCATATAGCGGATACAACAACGCGTAAGCATGACGCAAAAGTTGACGATTGTTTCGCGATTTACGATTTCGAGTTCACTGCCGACGCATTGAAAACTTCTCAGATTGCTCGGCCGCTATTCGCAGGTTCGCATCGAGTCTTGAAAAGTTTCTCAATGCGTCTTTGTTACAAAGATAATTTACGACATGAAAATATTGGCACATTACTTATTTCTCCGAGCACAATATCGTCAAAGTGACAAAAAATCACAGAAATTATGAATAAAAAGGATAACGAACAAGAGTTTTAGCGAATTTGCTATTTCGGGAAAAAAAACCCGCGATATAAAAAAGCAACCTCATAAGCAGATAATAAAAATACGTCAAAGCGAAGATTTAAATTTTTAAAATCATGTTTTAGGTAATGGAGATTGCCTCATATTACGTTTCTCTTTTTTATGCGATAATATGGCCGGATGCACATGGATTCTGGATTTTCACAACTTTTTCGTAGCATAATTTTGCGGAATTAAAAAGGACGAAAAGTCATTGTCCAGGAAATTACCACGTTCTGAGCCGGTAATGAAGTTTCATGCAAAAATTCTATATCCGCATGTCACCAAATATCCGGCGGTTTTACGGCGATTTTAATTTTAAATAACGTTATAACGCGCAAGGTATTTTGCTAAAGAGCTCACTCTTCTCCTGTTCTATACTGCCTACGAAGGATTTAAATATGATAACGAAACAAATTAGGTTGTAAGATAATAGGATTTTCTTCGGCGCGATAAAAATAGGGAGATTGCACGCCTTTCAGGCCTTCTTTAAATAATACAACACCATGGTTTAGCGGCACGCTCGCTTGGCGCTCATAAATCACATACTTTTTAGAGTGGTTTCAAAACGTGTGACTTCATACCGACTGTTATTTCCGGCAGAAGATTTATTCATAGACACACACATTTTCAACTATGCCCCGTGAAAAATGTTTCGCGGATGCGTCTCGTGGAATTGCGGGAGAAGTTGCCGCAACTTCCCCACGTAAACTCCCGCGCACGCGAAGAGCTTTGGAATACAGAGAATTCGCGAGAGTTCCCTCTTCCCCATCTGTTCGTTGCGTGCGAACTTCTGTTTTATTCGCGCGGGATATAATTTTTAATACCGCGCACTAATACCAGATAAACAATGGTAATGTCGATACTCTGTACGCCATTTTCTACGTTAAACGCCGCTGCGAGGCCGGACGAGAGATCGTGCATTTTAATTTCGCTAAGCCACGCCGAACGCACAAATCCCACCTCGCGAGATCGCAACTGCGTATTAACTATTTTCGCAATTCACACGGATGAAATTGCCTTGGTTTATCGCGGTCACGCGCGATTCTTCTTACTTATCGAGAGACACGTACACGCGCCGATATAATTGCGCTGTTCTGCAGTGTCTATAATCCGCCATTCAGCGACACCGCCAGCGAAATTTCGCGTTCGCGCAATCCGCAATTCCATCTACGCGAAAATCCATTAAAGCCAATTGCTAAGCATGACCATAAAAAAAGTTCACAAATGCAAATAACATTGTACATGCAATCACGAAGCAATGTTTCGCACAGAAATGAAAACGCGAATTGCATTGGATATCTTCTTAATCTAATTAGCCACGCTTTACATTAGCACTCAGAATTAAAATTCTCTCGCAGAATAAAATTGCCATATTAAACAGTATGTGCGTGTGTATGTATGCTCGTACTATTGTCTTCTTAATTTAATTTTATTCACAATTCAAATATTTAAATATTTAGACTCTGAAGTATACATATATACTTAGCGTAATTTAATCTTAATAAAATTACTTGGTAAGTAATATCGTGGAGCAAATAATCTTCCAGAATTCCGAAGAAACCTGGGACAACGGCCAGCGCTGTTATTCAATTTCCATGAGCTTCGTTCAGACAGATTGGATACTACAGACGCTTCACAAAGCTCGATATCATCACGCTTCTTTCTTCCCGTCCTTGAGAAGCTCCTAGGACTCTTTCATTTTACTCTTTCTATCCACGAGGACACTATAAACGCGACCGCAATATTTCCTAAGAAACCTCAGATTTCCTGCCTTTGTTCGAAGAGACGCGATGTAACTAGCAATATGCGAATCTCTTTTATTGCGTGTGAAACCCGAGATAATTTCGGTATATGGTAATCGCTAACATTTTGTTAACTTTTTCATTTCTGCAGACCATTTAACCATTTCAATAATTATATTGACATTCTAATTGATTCTATTATACGTATATAGAATTTTTATTATGCTCTTCTACATTTAAAAAATTCAGCTTTAAAAACGAGCAAAATCTTTTTTAATTCATGAATTATATTTATTAATACAATTCGTTTGCAGGTAATTTTATGAAAATTTTATTCACCGCAGATTATTTAATAATTTCCTGAAAATTACAGCAACAGAGATATTTATACCTCGCAACATTTAATTGTTATTAAATAGAATAATAATCTTTTTAATAATCTTATTCAAAGGCAAACTGAAAAGTAAAAAATTTTTTTAAAAATGTAAATAGCATTGTGGTAATAAAGTATTTCAAAAATATGCATTTCAAGAAGGATCATGGGATCATATTCTCATTAAATGTGGACTCTGCATTGTTTCGCATTCGTTCCTCCTCCACGAGCATCGACCCTTATCTTTTTCTCCATCACTGTTCAGCATTGCTTTCAGAAAATGCTTCCTTCGCTCTCCTGGTAGTCTAATAGCGTGTTCAGTTTTCGCCCTCTTTACGGAAGCGGCTAAGACCCTTCTTATTTCGTCTTATGTCTTGTTCTTTTTATCGCCGAGAACAGGACCAGAGCGACACACATACTGCGAGAGGGAATACAAGAAGTGGAACACATCGACGACGAGTGGGATTGCAATACGAGCTGGCCGCACTTCAAATATGCAAAATGAGTATTGCGGATTCCGCGTATGACGTTATAGCGTGCAAGAGATACGGAAAAAGAGGAAAGAAGGCAAGGGCAGAGAGAAACGGAGCTTTTAATCAACGCAACAATGACCACAAAAAGATTATTTCGTCGGATTTAATTGTGATTCGCGCGGTTGTTCGAGCGCAATTCGGTTAAGCTTAAATTATCATCTGTACGAT